GATATCTTTTGACAAAAAAATAAAAGAATTAGCAAATGCGTTGACAAACCGTTTTGTACAATCTATTTCTCTTTCCTTTTTCTTTTCTTTCTCTCTTTTCTTTCCCTCAAAAATCGCCTAAATGCAATTAGAAAATTATTCTCAAAAAATAAATATTTTCTTCATCTCTAAATAACTATCAAATGGTTAACAAACCGAAAAAATAAATCATATATTTATGAATATCTCTTTTCAGTTTTCTAATTATGCATGGTGCCACCCAAATTTAGTCAGGATTATGTCAGACCATGAGATTTCTTAGAAACAAAGAAAATTTGTAAAATGAACTTCATTCTTTTACTTGAAGCAACAAAAACCACTGTGGTTCTACAGAAAGATGCTGAAGATACCATGGACCGAAAAAGTTAGCCATCTTAAAAAATAGAGAACGTGAAAACAATTGTTGCTATACTCAAGTCATGCGTCACCCCGGGGATCGTATTCTATAGCCAATCGTGACGTCTGCCTGACAGTATGTTGCAACTTTAAGTCGCGGCGTCAATAATTGACGTCACCCCGTCTGTCTCCGCGCCAACGCCGTCCTATTCTATCCCGTCCTGTGACGACCAATGTGACTTGGTATTGGTCGCGGCACCAAATGTGACGTTCTAACCTTTTGCTAATTCGGATGGGAATCAGGTTAGATTCGTTATCAGCCTTGTCGTTCCCAGCTCGCCTCCAACGTCTGGTTACCGAAGTAAATGTTTTGATTTCTAGTCTAACCTACCCACGTTGTGATTTGATCCTAGGTAGACGAAATCAATCAGTCGTCGGGCCGTAATGCAAGTCGAGTTCGGACAAGGGTAATACCGCACAAGTATATGTAAAAGAAAATAAAGTAACAACTCGAAAAGTTCAAATGTGTTAAAAAAGGATAACAATATTTTATATCTGGTTGCTGAATACAGGACTGCGTCTTTCTCCCAAACCGCTAATATGGATTCGTGACACTTTGTGTTTGTTAGGCGAGTCTTAACATCTTAAGTTGTTTTTTTAAGAAACTGGTTTTTTAAGTGTATCTTCAGGCGGTATTCGTAAAACTTGTTTTGGTGGTGTGAGTCTAAGTCGTTCTTCAAAAATAAATTGTTCTTGGTTAGAAGTTGAGGTCGAAAATGCGTGGATTTTAAGTCAGCTTTCTGCGAGGCGGTCTCAGAGCTCACAGCTCAATTGCTTGCCTGTCTTTCTAACCCCAACTCAACACAACTGCAAAACTCCAACTCCAACTGCCGCCCACTCGCTGCGACTCTGCTTATATGGACACCGACCAAAACCGGGGTGGGCCTGTCGAGGTTTGAGGATCCTTGATAATTCTAAATTTTATTTTTGATTTTCTTTGTTTTCCTAATTTAAAATTTATCGTCCTTTCCCAAATTCTTCCTTTCTCATATTTATCTCAACCAATCCCTTCAGAGGCGTCAACAGGTTTCCCCCTCTCTCACAGTGGCATCTCACCCCAATCCCTTCAGGGGGCATCAACAGGCCTCCCCTTCTTCTTCACATGATTACCTTCGCCTACCGGTCACGCCACCATTCAGCCAATGAACACCCAACAGCGTGGGTGTGGCTAAACTGGCCTCGGTTTAAAAAATCTCGCTCAAAGAAAAAAAAAATTATCTTTTTTTTTTTTCCTTTTCCTTTCTTTCTGTTCTTCTTCCCGACAACCAATCCTTACGATTCTTATCTTAACTGAACGCCGTCTCGAGTTCGTCAACGAGATTTTCGCCAGCGTCAAGTGGGTGGTCATCTGGCGACTTTGCATCCAGGTGCCAATTATTCGTTCCGTTACAATAATTTTGCTATCATGGCCAGCTCTTGACATGAAACAGGTGCCTTTTCCAAACGACATCTCCGCAGATAGCTAATGGCTCAGTCTTTCTTTCTTTGTAACTTGGGTGGTTCAACGGACATTTTGTTTTTTGCTAATGAGAATAAAATCTTTACCACTTTTCCTTGTTAGAAAAAAGTTACATCGCTCAGTGTCTTTTCGTGATAGATTCTGATCACCTAATTTAATTCTCGCCTTCTTTTTCTTTTTTTCACGCAACCATAAATAGTGTAACACTCAACATCAGGAAGAGACAGTTGCAATTTTTAGGGCACCTAATGAGGAAAGAGGGCTTAGAAAATTTGATACTCACTGGGTAGATTCAAGGCTAGTGGGACTGAAGAAAAACAACTCATTTAGGTATGCCCAATAATTTGCCAAAAAACAGCATGGCATGACGAAAAAAAGGCCTAAACTTAATAAAAACAAAGTTTTATCATCAAAATATTTATATCATTAATAAGAGGAAAGGCCATTTTTTTTTAGTATTTTAATTTTTGTTAGTATTTTAATTCAAAAACTTTTTAATCATTTCTAGCATGTTCGAAATTTTAGTTAAAAATCTTGATTTTTTTTTGCGTCAGCGGTCACGTAATATTTAGCATTAGTTTTTTTTAGCGCTTATTCAGTTGAAAAACAGATTAATTTGGAAATTCTTGCAATCAAATCAAATGTCAGATTTTGATAAAACTTTCAGAAATGATTAAAAAGTCAATGAAATTATTTTAGAAACATTCGTTTTTTTTGTTTTTTTTTAGAAAGTCATGGTAAATTCTTTTTTTTTTTACATGTGTTACTTAATTTTATGAAAACTCGAGTATGTTTATTTTTGTGATTTTTTAATTAAATGCAGAAGACTGAAGAATATAAATCATTGATTCTATTTTGTAAATCGTGAAAAACGATTCTACCCAAAATTCAACTCTGAATTGTAAAATACAAATCCTAATAAAACTAAAACATTATTTAATTACAAATTCTTTCAATGGCTTTTATGAATAATTTGTGTATGCCAAAATATTTTTCCGATGATAAATGAATTTTTACAATAATTGTTTTCTCTTTTTTCAATTTTAAATACAAAATATGATAAAGTTGTTAAATATTTAAAAATTAAGTTTGAATATATGTATTTCTGGAAACGCTCTTATTAAAAAAGATCTATTTTAGAGATCTTAAATTTGAAAGCTTATTACAATCTGGGAAGCGTTTGTAATTTGAAAATATGCCAAAAAATGTATTAAAACGTTTCTTCTGATAGTGAGGATCTGGTCTCAATAAATTTGCGTTCATTTTTCTATCTACTTTCGTATTTTCATCCTCTTACTTCAACATTTTTAATTTTTTTTTCTTATTTTCAACATATTTTTTTTTTTTTTTTAAATATTTCACGAAATTTTTTTTCAATTTTTTTAATATAATCAATTAATATTCTTTTTTATCATCAATTTTCGTTAAAAAAATAGGCCTTCTTTGGAAAAAAATCAAAATCAAGAAAATATTAGACTTTTGAAAGTATTTAATTTTAAAGAGTTACTTTGTAGTTAAAGAAGTTGGTTTGCTTAAAATTCGAAAATACTGTCACTTCCGTCCGATAATTTTCCCTGAAGTTTGTTGTCGATACACTGATGTAAACGTCGATTCACACCTCCAAAACTAATCACCACGGTTAGACATGCTTTTGTCTTATTTCCAGCTATTTTTTCTGTTAAAAAAGTAAGCCATGTTTGTTTCCAATTACATTTAGCAAACTTTAATTTTTTTAATATTCTTAAAATAGCTTTTGAAAAAGTGTAATTGAATTTTACAATAGTTTAAACGGAGAATTTCACTTGTTTACAAAGTTGTCAAAAATGGCTGACATGATCGATTTTATGTAAATTTTGCTGACTTAATATATATATATATATATATATATAACTAAAATTTCAGACGTGCTGGGAAGGATAAAAAAATAATTAAAAAATACTTTGGTCTTGCGTCTTACTAATACTATAAACATTAAGACGATAAAAAAAACTGTTTATCAAATTTTGAGACTTTTTTTCATCAAAGTATGATATCATGTTGACGAAGTATTGGACATATCTAATATTATGTGTGGTTTTCTTCAGTCCCTCTCTAGCTTTCAATCTACTCCGTGAGTATCAAATTTTATAAGCTTTCTTTCCTCATTAGGTGCCCTAAAAATTTCAACTCTTTCTGATGTTGAGATAACGGAGGGAAATAACTGAGACATCCGGAAGAGGCATGACACGTGGAACTAGAACAATCTGCTCCGATGGACGAAATAAAGGGTTCGGTTCGAAATTCCAATCACCTGAAGAAGATCGGAGCGTACAACGGCCGAAACGTTTTGAATATGGCAATGGAGATGAAGTTAATTGTCCGAATAATGTAAATAATACATTAGGGAAACTTGCAAAAATATTAAAAAAAAACAAAAAAAAAACGTATCTATGAACACAAAAGAGATTTTATACGCAACAATTCATGAAATGCATTAGTTATACATAGAAATAAATTCAATCACAATTTGATCTGAAAAATGCTACACTTATTAAAAGAGAAATCAACATAGACGGAAAATTCTCGAGAGTGGCTCTATCGAATCTTAAAATATAAATCTATTCCCTGGATCTTTTCAAATATCTCAATTCCTGAAAGAATTATTACTTTCCGAATTCAGCATAAATAAATATAAAAATGTTAAAAAATTCATAGAAAACCGTTTAAATTAATTCCAAACTAAAATAATTTAATTACTAATTTGCATTAAAAATAATTCAAGAAGATCATTTAATTACTTTCATTTATTAGACATTGAATTGTGTCTTTGCCTTTGTAGCTCGCCCGTCTTTTTTATTCTGGTCAGTTGTCTCCAGGCAGGTTATAATGCTTGAACTTACGGTACCTTGGGAGGAGAATTTGAAAGAGGCTTTGAAAGAAAACTGGAAAAATACCAGGAGCTGGTCGAGAAATGCAGGTCTAACAAATGGAGGACTACCTGTCTCCCGATTGAAGTCAGATGCCGTAGTTTTGCAGTCGGTTTGGAGTCAGGGGAGTAAAAAAAAAAAAAAAAAAAAAAGAAGGCCTATTTCAGAAAAAGCCTCAAAATGGTTTATGGATTAAAAGATCAGATCCATAGATTTCGACAACAGAGACTGACGGGCGTTGAGGTGCTGTCGGAAGGGATGAAGAAAATGCGGGAAAAGGAAAGGAAAGAAAAAGAAGGGGAGAGAAAGAGAGAGGGAAAAGAAGAAGAAAGGAGGAAGGAGGAAAAAGGGTGGGGAGGAAGAAGAAAAAGGGTGGGGGAGGAAGGAGAAAAGAAACGATTCTGATCATAATTCCTATGACCGACGAATGTGTATGGATGTTCTTTTTTTAGTGAAGTATCGTTTCATAGGAGATAAGAACTTAGCTGGCGACAAATAGAAATTACTTAACTGTTATGTCAAGTAGGGTTCGTTGTGAGTGTGGGTTTTTCTGCGTGCTGGACCTAAGAGGGAAAAGACGAGCATTAACTTTGTTCTCATTTTGTCTCGTTTTGTCTCGTTTTGGCTGAGGAGGAAGTGACGTAGGGCGTTTCTATTATTATGACCCAAACATCATTGATGAGGGGATTCTGTGCACCTGTTGGAATGTATTCATAACAAATTACTATCGCCCAACATTCCCTGTTCTATCATACATTTACACAAGCCTTCAGCATATTCTGTGAGTGCCAAATTTTTCAAGCCTTTTTTCCTCATTTTGTGTCCAAGAAATTTTGAATTGTAAGTTTGTTTCTAATTTCCTTACAATTTCCGCAGTGCTAACTAACATGTTCCATCTTTGGCATTTTCAGCATCCTTTTATAGAACCATATTTTTGTTACCATTTCCCATAAAGTTTTAATTCTTTTGATTTTTGTAAATATCAATGACAACTTGAGTGTTGTCATATTCTTTACCTTTTTTGGTAAATTTTCTTAGTAAAACGACGGTTAATTTGCAGTTTAGCACCTGCGCTCAGTTCGCAATAAAAATTTCCAGAATACTTATATTTATTTATTTATTGTATATGCTTCTTTAGAATCTGGCTTGATAAATTTGATAAAATCTGCCGTTTTGGAGTTATCGACAGTAAAGGTTCGGATTCATTCGCGTCGCGGGCAGCCATTACCAGCGTTGTTTGCATACATTCACTGCAGAATAGCTATCAGTGTAAATATCATTCAGCAAACTGGGCGTGTCTACTTAAATAGTTCTCGTGCGCAGTAATTTAGACAAATTTAGACAAGAAGGATCAGTTCCGAGCTTAGCTTTCTGCAGCGAATGTATGCAAACAATGACAGTAATGGCTGCCGCTAACGACGCGAATGAATCCGAAATTTTAGTGTCGATAACTCCAAAATGGTAGATTTTATCAAATTGACCATGACGCACAATGCCTTATATAGCACTATAGAGAGCAAGGAAAATTCTGACGATGTACTTTAGCGTCATTCTTTGTTGTTTCAGAAACTTAAATTTTCAAAATAAAGCGTAAATCGTCTGACGTAGAAATTTCTTGAACTTCAAATAAGAACACTGATTGGACAGACGATGGACAAATCAAATATCAGGAAAGAAGAAGCTTCTGAAGAAGTGTTGGATTTGATAGCGTACAAGACCCACCTATTTTAACATTTCAACTTCACCAGCGAGATTTGAACTCACAAAATTCCCTATTGATCAGCATAAACGTAGGCCAATCAGTAGGAGAAATCAAACTTTCGTCGTATTATGATTTAAAAAAAAATTGACTTGTTCACCAAATACGCGACCCAAGATCCGCTCAAGCTACAGTTTACATTCATATCATGAATTCCTTTCAGTAAGAAGAGTCAGTAGGAAGTGAAGATTACTAAGATATAACGGATAGGTAACGATTAACACTAAACTTGAAGAGGTAGTGTTCGGTGAAGTATCTACGCGGGATTCGGTTCGACAAAGGAACGGTTTCTGTCTGAATTTCTGGGATGAGGACTTATTATTTACACAATTTATATTCAGGCTACTGTCCCCATTTATGTTATTGCTATCACATTGTTTCGGCCGTTGAACGCTCCAGCCTTCATTTTGTTTTTAAGTGTTTCACCCCAAGCAAGGCGAGAAGCCACTAGCACGCAAGGGGTTACAGAGAATTGGAGCGAGGGCAAATAGGAGTGATAGAGGAAAGGATGAAGAGAAGGATAGGGGATAGATCAAGGCATCTGGAGACGTCGATTGACATTACATTTGAATAGTTGGAGATTATAGCTATCGGAAAAATAGGAAAAGGGGAGGTAATTCCACAGGCGAGAAGTGTGAGACATGAAGCTATTGGAGTAGAAGAGACGGCTACATTTAGTAGTTTGGACAGTGAAAGGGTGAGAGCGAGATGCCAGCCTCGTAGGGCGCTTGAATTCATGAAGTCTGGGGACCAGCGAAAGCAGCTTATCAGAGCAATTACCGTGAAAGTATTTGTAAAAAAGACAGAGGGAGGCGACGGCACGTCTGTGAGAAAACGGCTGCTGACGAGATTCCAGATCAGGGCAATTTACATTGCATATCTGTCTCTGGATTTTATCAAGGTCCTTGAGACAAACAGAAAGCATCAGATGTGTATCGAGGAAATCTAGGAATTTAGAATTGAACCCTTTATTTAATTTAACCGAGTAGAGTGTGTTCGTTCCACTGCTCCAATGGGACAATAGCTTAGTGGATTAAAACGTTGCTTTTTGAATTTGGTGATATATTGGTCGTGAGTTCAATCCCTAGGCCGGGCAGTGTGTATTTGGACTCAGTGGAAACGAGCAAGCAATAACTGAGCAGTACTAAAAATAAGAGCCAGACGAGATATATCTAGACATGCGCAGTAGAACAGTCTATACGGGATGATTAAACAAAGGGTTTAGTACATAATTCCCTGTACGTTACAAAGAGCGATATCTATCTGATGAAGGCCGGAAGGCACAACGACCGAAACGTTGTAATAACAGCAGCAAATAAAATAACAATTCTTAGGAATCGAATAGAACTTCCTTTTTACGAATGGAATACGAGTCGACCATATGTACGTAACATGTCACGTCTTAGCAGTAAAATTCTGATCTGGTACAAGTATGGATTCTAGCTCGTCTGAACATTTGCCATGGAAATAGCAAGAGGCTAGTAACATTTCGTTTGTGGGAAAGTGGTTGTTGGGTGGAAACTAATTAATCTCTCTCGAGTCACTGCAAACGATTTGGAACTCTGTCAAGCCTATACAGTTGGGGATTTGGCAGAAATACTCCATTCTTTTGGTCTGATCTGACTCTTTTAAAGTTAAAGCAAGGAATTTTTTTTCTGGACGACATATGCCAGCGTTATTCTTGGTTATTCTTTAGAACGTAGAAAGACGATAAAAACAAGAGAAATACGATGAGAAAATATTAAAAATAAATAAATTAAAATAAATAAAATAAATAAAAATAAATAAAATAAATAAAAATAAATTAATAAAATAAATAAATTAAAAATAAATAAATTACAACCCAGCTGTGTAAAAATCTAAACATCCATGTGGCTTTGTATGGTGCTTAGTTTAGTAAATATATATATATATATATAGCGATATGAATAAATTTGGGTGATTCGTAATAATTGGCCATCTTAAACTGCTCAGTAAGGCAGTGCTACGGAAAAGCAGCCTCACGCTGCTCTAGTGCTACTTTTAGGAAAAAGTGCTCAGACGAACTACATTCCTTCGTTCCCCCAGTTCAAACCTTCACGGCTAGGACCCACCATGCTACGGACATTGTAGCGAATCACCCTCATTTCCTTTGTATTCCATTGGTGAGAAGTTCCACGCGGACAGCTTCTTCCCGCGAACCGCTGATCGGGGGAACCAACTCTGAAGAGGATGTTTTCTCAATCACTACAATCTTAACCGTTATCTTCTTCACATATCCGAATAAACTTTGTCCCTTACTATGTAACCGTCTACCTCGAGTGGCTCTCGAGCCTTGTATAGGTTGAACCTCACTGTAAAAGAAAACGTCTATATAGAAATTTAAAATCTCAGTGAAAGTTGAGTTTTTTTTTAAAAAAAAAAAAATCTTCGATTCCTAAGGTTCAGTTAATAATTACACTGGAAAGGATGATGTCAAGTAAAGAATACGAGAAAAATTAGCCTATTTGGCGGTATATGGTAGTCTTTACGCATCTAGATATGTTTTGTCCTCGATTGAGCGAGGAACAATAACAGGTTAGTTTTTTTTTTTCTTTTTTTTTTGTCATTTTCCGTGACCAATATGTTTTTTACTTTTCTTTGATTTTCCTCACACTTGTTTTAATATATTTTTATATATTATATGAAGATATACTTTTTAAAACGCCCGTTTTAAAGACATAAATATGAACCCTTTACAGATTATTTACGTAGATATACGATGACTCTCATTAAAAGAGCCGTGAGTGAGAAGAATGGCCTATAAATTTGGCACGACAGTTCACTGTAGACGAAAGCGCTACATTCTTATCCATATATCTTTGATCAGTCTAGACAAAATATTTTAGCTATGTCGAGTTTAGGCAGAGAACTGGGAATAATGTTTTTCTTTTTTAATAAAGATAAGAAAAAAAGGAATGCAAATTCGATTCAAACAACTTAAAACTATTACATCTTATTACTAAGACGAAAGAAATACTAGTCAGAAATTATTAATAATTGACAATGTTTCATCTAATAAATTCAAACAAGTTAAGACTATTACATCTTATTACTACTTGGTGTAGATAAGCAAAAGAAATAAGATGAAAGAAATATAGGAGTCAAAAATTAATAATGATTGCATTCATAAGCGGTTTAACTCATTATACAATCTTGGTTAAACAATACACGGCGAAAGCTTGAAAATACATCTCTGAAATTACGGACTGACCGGATATATAATTACGGTGGAGAAATGGATAGCGGTTCGGATTGAGGAATCGGAGAGCCGCGTTCGATTTCCAGTCGTGCTATTACCCTTGGGAAAGGTATGAATTCTCTTCTACCAGCTTGGGGATAAAGAATAGGACAGGCTAAGTTCCATAGCCTTGGATGGCAACTGATCTAGGTAAAGGACAACTCTTAATTCCAAACACGCGAAGGACAACTCTTAATTCAAAACGTGTGATTGTGTAGTTACATGAATGTAAACATTACTTTAGTCCGATGAAGTCCTAATGGACGAAATGTATCACACGAAAGGTTTTTTCCCCCTTTTTTATCATTAATTTTCCTAACGTTATTCTGTTATATAAATATTTATATATCATTTTCTCTCATAATTCAATATTTGTTTTAATCATTATACCATTATATATCCTGTGATATAAATATTTAGGGACGTTGTGTACCAGGCGATCCCGAAGCAAAAAAAAAAAAAAAAAATTACACCAAGCACGCACCAAATGCACTCGTTATATATATATATATATATATATATATATACACACACACACAGAGTATTAGGAACCAAAAAGGAAAAAGAAAGAGACTTACGCTGCATGTAAATGAACATGAAAGGTAAAAGATTATTATTTATTGCGTATAACCGAGTAATTAATTCGTCTTGCACTATACTGAAAAGAATCATGAAAAGTATCAATTCTAAAGAACATTTTGATAGGGTCTTGAGGGATATAGGCATTTTAGAGAAAATGTCCAGGGTTTCATTTGAAATATAGACTTTGTAGCAAACCTCCCCAATAACTACGAAATAAGTACAAATAACGACGTATTCAAACAAACCAAAAAAAAAAAAAAAAAAAAAATACTGATTTCAAATCTAAAGTCGACATAAGACATTGTTTAGTTCATGATTAACATTTCTATTTTAAACATTGTTTTATTCTCAACTTTAAAAATCTCAAACAAAATTCCAATTTTTATGTGCGCTTCTAAAATCCGTCGGAAACAGGAAATATATTTTGCCTAATTATTGTCTTTTGCAAACAGAAAGCCGAAAACAATTTTATTTGAAAGGAAAGCTTTTAACAAGAAAATAAATATTCACCGGTTTCAATGTTTGCATGAAGGAAATGAAGAAACTGGAGATTAAATACAAAATATTAGCAAAGGTGCTGTTTGTCTTTGTTCTTTTATGAAGTGGGGGTGGTGTTTAATCAGGCCGACTACGTTCAACAGGAAGATGAAAAATATGCTAAAAGGAATTTGTTACAAGAGGAAATACTCAAGACGTTAGAAATAAGAGATTAAAAAAAGAATTGGAGTAAATTAAACAATGTAAAAATGAAAGGGGGATAAAATAGAAGAACAAGCATCTAATATTCTATTTCATTGCACGAGATAAAACGTAAATTCTCTTTCAATGATTGTGACCAAGATTCCCTTACAATATTTGCAAATTGTTTTATTTTGAATTTACAGAATATTTTCATTTTGTCTTAATAAGATTCAAAGTATCCAAACACACAAATACGCAAGAAATCATTATATATATATATATATATATATATATATATATATATATATACACACACACACACAAGTCGACGAGCAATTTTCATGATTTTAATGAATTCTGTTCTGCAATACACTTGTCGTAAAACCTTTTCTTTTTCCTTCAATTATCTTTTTTTAAACGTTGAATTCTTAAAATAAAATTCTCGGTTAGCGTTTCCTCGGGATGGAACCGTCGCTTAGCGTTCCCTGGGGACGGAACCACCGGGTAGCGCTTTTCAGGAAGAAATCGGTAGGCCTCTTGTATCAGGAAGGAATCGCTGGGAAATATTTAAAAAATCTTTTCTATATTTGCAGCAAATAAACAACAACTATTTATTAGCACCTACCCGGGGTGAAAATTGATGAAACAATATTTGCTGCGGCTGCATGGGATTTAGAAGAATCGTTCGTTTTTTGTGATCTTTTGTACCCTGAAGTCTTCTTGTCTCACGTGGCCCTGTGTCCGCCGTTTGGGCGTCTAAATTCACCTGTCAATCTTTCCCCCCTCAGGTCGTTTTTAAGTTTTTGAACTGAGGGGTGTTTCGAAGATGTTGATCGAAACGTTCTCGGGAACGAGCAGGGAGAGTTACAAGAAAATTCAAGAAAGAAGTGACCTTTAGAAAAGACAATCAACGTTTGCTTATCGATACAGTCATGTAGAATTTATTCGTTAAGGTTTACATTTATCAGATTAACCCTTCCTAATTCTGTGGTCTACGAAACTACGACCGGTTTGGCAGTTTCAGTGTTATTCCCGATACGTAATAATAACAGCTATTCTCCAGACTGATAGCTGATAGATAGTTCAACAAAGCAGCCAGGGAACTTTGGTCTCAGACCTGTAAACAAAGCTGGTATTGAAAACCGATCTCAAACTATCTCTCTTCTTGGGCTGGGTAAAAATTTCTTCAGTTGACGAAGTATCGCGCAAGGGGTGGTGGACTAGGTGATAATTCGAGGTGTTATAAACTATTCTGTTACATTTTCTCTTTCACTGCTTGTATGTCCCTCTTAAATGAGGAATACGTTTCTTTCAGGTGTCAGGTTACAAGTCGATTTGCATATATGAATAGTAATAGATGCCGAAGAGAGATTTGATGACATCATCCTCCTGTCACGTACAGCAAAGGTCAGCTGAATTCTTGAGTCCAACAAACCATCAAGGCAAACTGATGTATAATATTGAATTTTGGCCGAGCTGATTTATCCTAATTCTCATTTTTCTAGCGGTGAATTTTGAACAGCAATGCCCTTGACTGGTCACTGGTAGTTGGTTCAACAACTTAGACGTGAACTTTGTTTTCGGGCGTGCCGACAATGTTGGGGTCACCAATTCTTTTCTCGTTTCATCGACATGCAAATGAAAATTCTTTGAATCGGGAAATGTTTTCTATTGACGCAATTGATCTGCTACATTGTGTCGTTCTTCTGATTCATGCTTCTGTTCAACAGTCGGCCATAGCCTCAGATTCCTCTGTTCTGTCCTCCGTATATATAGGGGATACTGACGCTTTCAGGAGTCAAGTTTTAACTTGATTTGCATATGTGCATGTTAACTTCGGAGGGTTTTGATGACTCATCCTCCTTGAGACACAGTCAAGTGTTGACGTATTTCAAAGTTAGTATACAATCAAGGCAGAAAAATAGTGAATAAGATTATAAAACAAGACATTCTAAATTTTGAATTTCAGCGAGATCCGAGCTGGCATAAAACCGGCTGGTATATCTCGGCTTTCATCGGCAACGGCGGGTGCAGATGGGGAGCTCCCTGTTTCACCAGATCAATAATATTTGAAACCAAGTTCATTTGCAAGTCCAGACTCAGTCAATTTCAGGTACTATTTCAATTAATTGCAATTAAATACTTCTCTCCTAAAGCTAATTAAGAAACAAACAATAAAAAAACAGTCTCCATAGAATTTTTCGTATACTAGTAAAATCTGAATTACCCGGATTGAAGATTTTCTCCAGTTAACTTATATTCCAACGTACACTAGATTGACTTGACTTGAATTGACTTGTTTCGGTTTTCACCCTGGTTGGGTTGAACCGACTTCCTCCCGAGCAAGTACAGCATCACGGACCATCACTGCCCACACTCGCCGATCTTGAGCCAGGTCACACGAAATAGCGAGCCAATCGCGATTCCATCGTCGAAGACCAACTACTTGTGGACCCGATAGTACTGCTAGGTCATCCTTGATTGTGCTAGCCCACATCCTCAGCTGCTCAACGACATGTTTTCGCCAGCCAGGAAGAGAAGGAGGGAGAGGTACATCGTGGATGAGCTCTCCCTCTGGGTGTCAAGCTGCGTGCCCGAACCATCGGAGACGACGCTGGAGCAGGACGGATGGAAGAGGACGGAGACTCAGGCGACGACGTAGAGTGGCTGTGGGCACACAATCGATTCGGTGGCATCGTAGAATGCAGCGAAGGCATTCGTTGTCGAACACTTCAAGCCTTCGTAGGTCAACCGCTCTAAGTGGCCACGTTTCGCAGCCACAGAGAAGGATAGACCGAACGATAGCCCGATAAATGCGTCCCTTCGTAGCCGTGGGAATCTCCCGTCGCCCCCATAGTGACCGCTCGAGACGCACGAATGCGGACCTTGCAGCTCCTATACGGCGTTCAACCTCAGCAGCAGCCTGCCCGGATGGTATAATGGTTGAACCGAGAGAGACGAAAGACTGCACGTCCTCTAGATTGACCCCGTCCAGCGTCAGTGGCTGCCAGTTGACTGGATCAACCAGGGACGGCATAACTTTGATCTTCGAGGCATTGATGGTCATACCCACATCCCGTGCTGCAGCTTGCACACAGTTGAGCGCAGCTTGCACATCGTCACAGTTCGATCCGACCAAGACAATGTCGTCCGCGTAGGCCAGATCAGACACAACCGCAACTCCAGCGTAGACCCGAAGGGCCTTTGCCGAGGATGTAGTCGATTGTATTGTTGAATAGGGTTGAGGATAGGGCACACCGTGCCGCACACCAGTCTTCACCTCAAGCGTCTCATCCTCACCATAAGCACGAACACGGGCTCGCGTCGAGCGGTAGTAGCCCTTGATGAGACGAAGGAGTTTAGCGGGCATGCCATTGGCCTCCATGATACGCCAGAGTGAGTCCCTACCAACGGAGTCGAAAGCAGCCGCAATGTCGATGATGTAGAGGACTGTTGGTTTCTGGTATGCCCAGCGTTGTTCGATGGTGCGCCGTAGGCTGAAGATCTGATCAACACAGCCTCTGCCCAGGCGGAAGCCACCCTGAGACGGGCGTACACTAGATTCACTTAAAAAAAAAAAAAAATCACATCACCTCATGAAAGGCAGTAAAGCCCCTGAGACACAAGAGCTTTTTGAGTGTGAAAGAATAAGAAATAAAAGAGATACAGTATTGAGGGCGTGAACAATCGAAGATTTATGAAGTCAGTAGATAATGATTGACATTGATCTTCAAAAATTTAAACGCAAAGTTGACTGAAAAACATGGAGCCAGAAGCGAGAAGTACGAGAAAAGAGACTGTTGGCTTAAAGTTATATCTAAACAATTCAACTAATTTGATGAGACCTTGCCGCCAATCTAATACTGCACTTAAATTTATAAATTCTAGGAAGCACAGCAAAGAGTTCATCCGCACTGTTACCCTTACTTGTAAAATCCACACCGGTAACAGTGTTACACATTCAATCACTATTATCTTATCACACAATGTGGTATTTTGTTGATATATCTAAAGACACAAAGAATGGATGTCGATCGATTGTCATCGCCAGACAACAATGCAAAATGAATAAAAGCAAGCTAAGCTAAAGTTCCATTTTGCTTACCAATTTACCGGTACCCTTCTGTGTCTTCTGTCGAATTATGATAGCGTTCAAAAATATGCAGTTACAGCATTTGAATAGGTGTTTAACACATTCAGCGCCAAACGACGTTACTTATATAACGTCCCCTTTATTTCAAGTTCACACCTTGTCTTCATTTTGTTACACGCATATTCCTATTTTCCTTTGATAGTGTAACCCGGATGTAAGAGAGTTGTGGGGACCGGATAAGAAGTCTCTTATATCCGGGTTTCTCTTATATCCGGGTTTGGTCTATTTTGTTTAGGTAAGTATGGGAACACTTTGGGACCAGAGAAAATCTCTCTTATATCCGGGTTTCTCTTATATCCGGGTTACACTGTATTATGCTTTGTTTTTAAATACCATGTCTCTTCGGGACGTAAGCTATCGTAGATTCTTTTCTGTATTATCTGGGAATCGACATGCTTTCTTAGAAAAGAAAATGGTTTCCCATTCGCTTCCGCACGGTCATGGAATTCAGAGGTTTCCTTTTCTTAGACTGGTTATAATCCAAAGCTGGAGAGCCCAGTCTCCCCGACTATATAAAACATGGTGGGGGGGAGTTGGAATCGATCATATCCCTTTCATATGTGTGAGAAAGTGAACGCCACAGAATAACTCAGAATTTCAACTCGATTCTTGATGAAATTTAAATTTTTCATTTAGCTTCGTTCAAACTATAGAATTCTTTGCTACAAAAACGCGAATAGTAAGATGCTTTCCAAAAGCTAAGTAAAATTTTTAAGCAATTGGAAAACTTCGATAGAAAAAACAAGAAAACGGTGCAAAATGTTTATATAATATCGATCCTTCAATGAATGCTGGGCGATCTCCTCTTAGATTAAGTAGAACCTTGAGGCAACACAAATGTGGTTCTACGAGAGAATGCTGGGGATACCGTGAACTGAACATGTGAATAACGATGAAGTTATCAGGAGAATGGAAATAAAAAGACGTGTATGCTTAGAATCAGAAATAGTAATGAGGAAAGACGGCTTGGAAAATTTAATCCTCACAGCACGAGGTACAGAGGAAAACAACAAATAACCTAACAAGCTTGTGTAAATGGCAGACAAGAGAAACTAATAATGAAAACGCAAACGTTACAAAGAGCTACAAATATTAGGAAGTTGTAGAGAGCCATGATCGTCCACATTTTGAAAGACATAGAAGAAGAAATAAACTCTTACACGATATACATAAGAAAAGCGATAAGAATACTAACAAAAAGAAACTATATTATATTGATTAGACTATATGCCCATAAACATAAAAGAAAAAAATTCAGTGTCTCCTCCCCTTCGTGTGATTGTGTAGTTTCATGAACGTAAACATTACTTTAGTCGATGAAGTCCTAACGGACGAAATGCATCACACGAAAGGTTTTTTTACCCCTTTATCATTAGTTTTCCTAACGTTATTCTGTTATATAAATATTTATATATCATTTTCTCCCATAATTCAATATTTGTTTTAATCATTATACCTTACAAGCAAGGCGATAATGCCACTAAGACGCAAAGGGTTACTGAGAATGAAATGAATAAGATTTTATGTGAAGGAAACGGAAACATTTCTAAACATGACATTAGGGATAAACGACTGGGAAGGGATGTGAACTGGGTGACAGAGAAACCTACCTATCTACTAATAAATAAATTATATATATATATATATATATATATATATATATATATATATATATATATATATATGACAGAGATAGACCCAGAAGATAAGAAACTGTTAGTATAGAACTTACGGCTACATGTAGCCAATTTATAATATTCACACAAAACAATATATATATATATATATATATATATTTGTTTGTGTGTGAATATTACAAGGGTAACAGTCCGGATGAACCCTTCACTATGGTACCTTGACATCATGAACTTATGCGCGGTACTAGATTGGCGGCAAGGTCTTAACTATTCACAGATGAATTGGCTATATGTAGCCGTAAGTTCCATGGTAATAGTTTCTTATCTTCGGATTCTCTCTCTCATATATATATATATATAAAACACTGAAGTCAACATTCAGAGGCAGCAGGCTGTTTCATGCTATATGCAACCGTCAGACCACGGGTGTTGGGCTTTTTCTCGACTATATATACGGGTCAGTGGTGCATTGTGGGTAGTCCATTCTGATGGTTATTTTGGCGGGAGTGGTTTGTGTGTGTGTGTGTGTGTGTGTATATATATATACATATATGCATGCACACACACATTCGAACGAAGAGCACTACTCTGAGTGAGAAAGCATAACAACCTGTGTTATTGACCAAAAGAGAATCATAGACGTTGATGACAATCGCTCACATCGGCAACAACTCGTGCAGACTTGATGGTAATTACAAACGATCGCTTGGATTCAAGCCAGCGTTGACCGCGGCCTTATTCCGACGGTATTAGATCGGACCAATTAAAACTTAATGGGCATTAATGGAAGCAGACAAAAATAGACCTTTACTGCGTTATATTTGTAAAGATGTTTCTACCATCGACCTACCGTCTTTATGAGTCATTTTTCTTTTACTGAAGCTTGAACTGAATTTAATTTCTCTTAGATCAGAAAAGAAGTCCTCCCTCACCAAAAAATAAAGTATTAGCAGTATAATGGCTAATAAACAGCAGCTTCTTTTAAAAGAATACATCATATGGCCTTTTTGTTTTAATTGTTTCACTTGTAATTTGGTTTTACCACTTAAAAAGACGAAATACGTATGTCATATGTGAGTTAGTTAATAATAAAATTCCTTATCACTTCATTTTGGAATATCTAAGGCTTCAACACGCGAGGCGTTGGTTATGTAGTTTCCATCGCAAGTCGGCTTTTTATGGGATGAGGTTGTCAGCCACACGCTCAACCGATTTTGAATGTAGTTTTCCTTAGACTAGACTGATTGCCCCATTTTATCCATAGCTTGGGGTACTGGCAGAAGAAATGAATTAATATATTTTCCAAGAGTATTTCTGCGAAAGTGAACGCAACAAGCTCGGCCGAAATTTAACCTTGACACGATGATCCTACATCCAGCACCGATAACCATTACGCTACGTGCATATCTTGTTGATAAAAAAAAAATAAAAATCATGAAAAATAAAATTATGAACAAATCAACACAAAACCTCTAAGAAAAAAAAATATAAAAAAAAAATACACCCTGAAAAATAAAGAACAAAAAATACAAAGAAAATAGATAACTTTTTAAAAAAGAAATTTAAAAAAAACAAAAAACAACCCAAAACAGCTAAGAAAATTTAGTTTTTAAATTTAAAATTTAACTTATTGTTTGGGCGATGGCGTCAATTCAATAATAAAGTTGCATTCTCTCGCGGCCGGTGATCGCTAGTTGTTTTGAGCCTAGAGAAAAAAGAACTTCAATACAGAGAATTTTAAACTTACCCAATCTATTAATCAGGTCGACGTTTAAATTTTCTAACTATCCAATGGGGTCGCTCTCTCTCGACTGGGGAGTCATTTCAGACACGAAAAAAAAATCGTCTACATTGACGGTTAAGAAGTACCTGTTATTCCCACGCTAGCTCAGCCAATTAAAATCGACTTCCTTGTTTTGTCTTCGATCTGCCCCTAAAGGTCAACCTCAAAAAGTCTTAGCAGAGATACATCTACTCTGAAAAATAATAGTCTTCTAAACTATTATATAACAGTATGGCATCAGGCCTAATGTATTTTCTGATATGTCTGACTTTAAATCTTAATAATTACAAAATTATTATATATCAGTCATTTATCTACACTTATAAATTACCGTATATACTTGCGTATCATGCGACTTTGGAAGTTCTAATTTTAAAGCTATCTTTTAAGGAGATGGCATCATACACATGTAAAATTAGCGTATGTACTGCTTGATCTGGCTACGCTGTTGACCAAACTTAAAAACAAACGATCATATTTAGTTATTTTAAATCCTAACCACGAAAAGTTTATTTACCTGCATGTATAAATTTAGCTATTTTATTTATTTATTTTTTATTTACAGAAAGAAAAATATATTTAGTGGTATTTCTGATTTTTACTCCTTATAAAAGCACAAAAAATATGCTAGTGACTTAACTACTCATATAAATGAATCTTTTTTTTTTAAATTATTTTACTTGAAGAGAAAAAAAATCTGAGCCAATCAGAAAAAAATATAATCATAGTGGAACCTCGTCTTCTGCTTTGATAAAACAATCTCCAATCAAGACGATAAAGCCAACAAGAGTGTAAGAGAATAAGAGAGAGAGAGAGAGAAAAAAAGAACATTATTAAGGATAGATGACAATAAACGAATATAAATTAATACAGAAGATAACGACTGGCATTACATTTAAAGTTTTGAAGATGAAAGTTGACCGGGGGAAAAAAAAAGCCGAAAGCGAGTTCCACAAGGGAGAAGTACGAGAGAAAAACTGTTAGCATAGAACT